TACCTGGCATTGGCCACTGTCAGAAGACAGGATATTGGGCTAGATGGACCTTTAGTCTGACCCAGTGTGGCCCTTCTTATGTTCTTCTGTTTTGTTCTTATGTCAGTTGGATGGCCCAGAGTGACATCCTCTGACGCATGTTTCCCTGTTTGTTGAGACGAACCAGACACGTCAGTCATTCTCAGCTCTGCCTTATGTGGAAATGGAAACCTGACCGCATCCCAGGCGTGACTAGTCTCTCACTTCCACCATGGCACCCCTTTAGAGTCAGCGGGTGGCACAAATGCAGTCATCAGAATTCAACTGATTAATGGGGACAGAAAGTCCATCCAGGGCAACAGCCGGGGAATTAGCCCCCATGCGCCACACACCAGCATGTGTCAGGGGCAGCTGCAGAGGGATGAGGAGGGACTTGCCGCAGGGTGGGGGACGGGACTCCTCTTTCCTGGTACTGGATACAGGGAGAGACCTGCAGCTGAGAACAGGCGGTTGATCTGCACCTCCCTACTAGCTTTTTTCCTGGTGCTCATGTGCCTCCTGCAGACCCCCCTCCAGGCACCTTCCAGAAGCTGCACCCTATGGCCCTATGGCCGGTGCAGCTGTAAGAGCCGTCTTCTGAGAGCCCCGGCAGAGCTGCTGCATTTGAGCAGGGCAGTCTCCGCACCCCAGGTTGTTAAACACTGAACCCCGTGATGCACACAGCACACACAATCACATGACTGGAAGGGACCTCGGGAGATCTTCTAGCCCTGTCCAAAGTACCACCAAGATCATCCCTGCCAGGTGTCTGTCTCACCTGCTCTTAAATATCTCCAGCGATAGAGATCCCACAAAGGATTTTGTTCCCGTGCTTAATCACCCTGACTGGAAGCTTTTCCCAATGTTGATCCTAAATTGCTTTCCCTATAATTGAAGCCCATTGCTTCTTGTCCTATCCTCGGAGGTTAGCAAGAACAATTTTTTTCCCTCCTCCTTGTAACAATTTTTTATGCACTTGGCAACTTCTATCATGTTTCCTCTCATCCATCTTGTTGCCAGACTTAAAACAAAGTCTTTTTTTTACAGTCTTCCTTCATAGCTCATGTTTTCTAGATCTTTAATCATTTTTGTTGTGCTTCTCTGGCCTTTTTCCAGTTTCTCCACCTCTTTCCTCAAACACAGCACCCAGAACTGGACACAGTGCTCCAGTAGAGAGGAAGAATTTCTTGGAGTAGAAAAGAAGAATTCCTTCTCACGTCTTGCTTACAAGACTCTTGCAAATATATCCCAGAATGATGTTCCCATCATACACTGTGGACTCATTTAACCTGTGGCCCACTGTAAGCCCAGAACTCTTTCCACAATACTCCTTCCTTGACAAGTGTCAGAGGGGTAGCTGTGTTAGTCTGAATCTGCATAAACAACAAGAAATCCCATGGCACCTTATAGACTAACCAACTTATTGGAGCATAAGCTTTCGTGGGCAATGACCCACTTCATCAGATGCATGTCACTGTTGACAGTCATTTCCAATTTTGCATATGTGAACTGATTGTTTCTTCCTAAGTGGAGTCCTTTGTGTTTGTCTTTACTTTCATCCAATTTATCCCAGACTACTTCTCCAGTTTGTCCAGATCATTTTTAATATTAGTTCTATCCTCCAAAGCACTTGCAACCCCTCTCACCTTGGAATCATCTGCAAACGTTAGAAATGCACCCTCTATGACATCATCAAAATCACTGATGAAGATACTCAATAGATAGGGTTACCAGATGGTTTAAAAAAAATACCAGACATACTTGATCTCAGATCGGCAGGGGAGAGGGGTGACCGGCCTGTGAGGGGAGCGGAGCTGGTGGGGGGGATCAGGGAGGTGGGAGGGGGACCAGCCGGCTGGAAGCAGGGCTGGCTGGTAGGGGGGCAGGAGGAGTGGGGCTGGCAGGGGGAGTTTGGAGTGGGGGGGGACCAGCCGGCTGGAAGTAGGGCTGGCTGGTAGGGGGGCAGGAGGAGTGGGGCTGGCAGGGGGAGTTTGGAGTGGGGGGGGACCAGCCGGCTGGAAGTAGGGCTGGCTGGTAGGGGGGCAGGAGGAGTGGGGCTGGCAGGGGGAGTTTGGAGTGGGGGGGGACCAGCCGGCTGGAAGCAGGGCTGGCCGGGAGGGGATTGGAGGGAGTGGGACTGGCTGGCAGAGGGAAGAGGAAGCAGGGAGGAGGCTGCCAGGAACACGGTGCCTGACAGGCATGGGGAAGCGCAAGCCCTTTAAATAGAAGCAGGTAGAAGGCCTCCTGCAGCTCCGGCTCCCAGGCAATGTGCTAAGGGGCAGGGCCTGGTTACAAAGACCTAAGCGGGCCCAAGCCGGAAAAAAGTGGCAGCCATGTTCATGCAAATGCCGCAGGGAAAATTTAAATCCCTGGGGCATTTGCAATTCCAAAGTGTCTCATTAGCATCCCTTTTCCAGAAAAGGGTGCCAATGTAGACACAGCCTAGGGGTCACCAAGTCAGCAGGTTTAAAACAAACAAAAGGAAGTTTTTCTTCACATAGCACACAGTTAATCTGTGGAACTCCTTGCCAGAGGATGTTGTGAAGACCAGGAATATAACTGGTTCAAGATAAATTAAAGATATTAACACACTATAAATCCAGTTTCCTATGCCTTTGACATTCACATTTCTCATCAATAGCTATGAGTGGGACAAATCCAGCCTTCTCAATCAACTTCATTATCCAGGACCCAACTGTTTGTGCTAATATACAGGGCTTGACAAACCACAGTGAAATCCACTCGCCAGCCCCGCACTGAGCATGCACGCATTGCCGGTGAATGGGGCGACCGGCTGAAATCTATTCACCATGGACAAGTAGATAAACAGATATGTCGAGCCCTGCTAATATACATATATGTATCTTGGATTCTGTACTTCCACTCCAACTCATCTGAAGAAGTGGAAAGCTCATGATCCTATATCTTTGTTAGCCTCTGAGGTGCCACGGGACTACTCGTTTTTAAAGTTACAGACTAACACGGAAACCCCTCTGAGACTTCCTGGAGGTGAGGTCCATCCATGGCTATTAGCAAAGATGGGCAGGGATGGTGTCCCTCGCCTCTGTTTGTCAGGAGCTGGGAATGGGCAGTAGGGAAGTGATCACTGGATGGCTCCCTGTTCTGTTCATTCCCTCTGGGGCACCTGGCATTGGCCACTGTTGGCAGACGAGACACTGGCTTGATGGACCTACCGTCTTACTCGGTATGGTCGTTCTTATGCTTTCTGCAGCAGGGGCCATGCAAACGGCTTTGGACATTTGTTCAGCTTGAAGCATGTGGTATAGTCGACCCTTAAGTTCTGATTTTCTCTTTAATGGCAGGAGCTGCTTCCTTGGGCAGAAGCCGGGTGGAGCTGCTTGAACTCAGCACAGGTAGGAGGAGAAGCGGGGCAGGGGGAGAAGGTAATGGGGTTAAGAGCAGAGTGAGCCAAGGAGGGGGCAGGGAAGCTGAGGGGAAGCTGAACTCAGGTCATCCGAGAACATGCCCCCTCGCCCCAGCAACCTCCTCCCCCCCAAATGCTGACCCAGCTAGGAAGCCTGGTACCAGCAAGTCCAGCACCAGCCCAAACCCCAGTGCTGGGGGATGAGCAGGACTGTTATGAGCACGCCCCAGGCACTGTTCACAGGGCCCAGAGCCCTGCTTGGGAATGAGTCTAAGGCGGGTCTGCCCTAGAGGTTTCTCCAGCATCCCCCTGGCTATATTTTAGTCCAAGGGCGGGGAAACCTTTCTGGTTCAGGAGCCACTGCCCCACCGAAAATTGGCCGGGAGCTGCACACAAGTGAGAAGCACCAAAAAAAACACACACCCCCCTCCAACCCTCACTGACGTGGCCCCTGACTAAGAAGGAGACAGACGCTCCCCACGTTCCCCCCGCACCTCAGAGCCTAGTGGGGCCCAGGCTGGTCGATTCTGTGTGTTGCGGCCAGGGCGGCCTTATGACTTTCGTGGGCCCTAGGCACTTTTGCCTTCGTGGAACTCTCCCACCATACTACTATCAATATTAAAAATTATTTTTGATATAATTTTACATACTTCCACTTTTTTTTTTCTGTTTTAGGCAAAATGTAATAGATTTTCGTGGGCCCTCAAAGTTCCTGATGTGAGAAAAAAATTAAAACATTTTCTTTGACCCTAAAAGTTCATTTTTTGTCTTCTGATTTTAAAAGAAATGAAAACATTTTTGTGGGCCCCTAAAAGTATCGTGGGCCCTACGCACTGTGCCTACTGGATAAGTCGGCCCTGGTTGCGGCCCCATGGCAGGGCAGGGGGAAGAGGATTAGCGCACCAATGCGGGCTTCCCAATGCTGGGCAGGAACCCTGAGTCTTGGGGGCCGGATCTGTGCAAGCTGGGGGCCGCATCCAGCCCCCAGGCCCAGAGGCATATTGAGGGTGTTATATACCCGGGGACAAAAGCAAAATTTGTGCCCCCCACCCTGGCCACTACCACGCAGCAGGGCCCCGAACCTGGCACACGGCTCAGCCCCACTCTAGGAGGAGGTGGGGGAAGCTTGTACCGCGTCTTCTCTCAATCCCTCCAGTATGGGGCCGGGCCCCCGCACGCACTAACCCGCCAGTGGAGATGGAGGAGGGTCAGGCTGGGGATGGAGAGGCAGAGAGGAGGCTCCAGCCGGTAGGGTTGCCAGATGGTTGCAACAAACATACCGGACACACTTGACACGACATCACGATCGACATGACATCTGAGTTAGAAAATACCAGGCATTTCCATTGTCTCATTTCTATGTTCTCAATTTGTTTCCCGGACAGAAAGCTCCAATACTGGACTGTCCGGTTCAAAACCGGACACCTGGCAACCCTACCAGCCGGCGGAGGAGGAGCAGGCGAGCTGAGGGATGACAAGGGGAACGAAGGAGGACTAAATTGGCAGCCCCCTAGCTTGGTGCCCGGGGGCAACTGCCCCCCCACCCTCTCGCTATGCCACTGCCCGGTCCTTAGGTTCCCCATCCCTGTTTCAGTCCATGGTTGAATCAACCTCACTGGGCCTCCCTTCCCTGGCTCATCGTGCCGTTGTTCGCAGGCCATGTGAGCTCCGGTCAGCACCACTAGGCCCCACCCCAGCCACGTTCCAGCTGCTGGGCATCCCCGGGTTGGAAGCCGCTCACCTCTGGATCTCGGTGCCCGTGTGCACCATGTACGTGGTGATCATCGTCGGGAACTGCACCATTCTCCTCGTCGTGGCCACGGAGCCGGCCCTGCACCGGCCCATGTGCTACTTCCGACCTGGGCGCCACCACCTGCACCCTGCCCAAACTGCTCTGCATCTTCTGGTTTCAGGCCCGGGAGATCGACGCCGGGGCCTGCCTGGCCCAGATGTTCTTCATTCACTCCCTTTCCATGATGGAGTCGGCCGTGCTGCTGGCCATGGCCCTGGATCGCTACGTGGCCATCTGTGCTCCCTTGCGGTACAGCGCCGTCTTCACCAGCCCGCTGGTCGCCAAGTTGTGCGTGGCCGCCGTGGCCCGGGGGACTCTACTCATGAGCCCCTGCCCCTTTCTGGTGAAGAGGCTGTCCTTCTGCCGGACCAGCGTCATCCCGCACACGTACTGCGAGCACATGGCGGTGGTGAAGCTGGCCTGTGGAGACACAAGCGTGAATCAGGCCTATGGCCTTAGCGCCGCCTTGCTGGTCATCGGCGGGGACCTGCTGTTCATCGGTCTGTCCTATGTTCTGATTGTCCGGGCCGTCCTGCGCCTCTCGTCCCGGCAAGCCCGGCTCAAGGCGTTTGGGACCTGCAGCTCCCACGTCTGTGTCATCCTGATCTCCTACAGCCCCGCCCTCTTCTCCTTCTTCACCCACCGCTTCGGCCAGCGCGTGGCTCCCCACATCCACATCATCCTGGCCAACCTCTACCTCCTCTTCCCGCCCATGCTCAACCCCATTGTGTATGGGGTGAGGACCAGGGAGATCCGGGAGCGGGTGCTCAGGGTGATCCTGCGGGGTGCAGGTACCTCCAAACCTAGGCCCAACTGGGGCTCCCTCCTCCAAAAGCCACCCAGCCAGCTCTCCCCAGCAGAGCTTCCTTTGCACTTAGTGTCCCCTCCCGCGGGCCTCATCTCAGCATCTGTAAAGCAACAATCTCCTACAGCTCCCTGCTAGATTTCACCACTCAGGAGGGCTCCAGATCCCAGCGCAGAGGCCTGTTCTCCTGGTGCCGCAGTGAGCCTACCTGGGACTGCACAGGAGAAATCACTGCCTCCAATTCCCACCCTGACCCCGAAACAGCCCCAGGGCCATAGGTATATCGAGTTTAAAAGACTGGGACTTTTCAGCTTAGAAAAGAGGCGGCTAAGGGGGGATACGATAGAGGTCTATACAATCATGACAGGTATGGAGAAAGTGAATAAGGAAAAGTTATTTACTTGTTTCCATAACACAAAAATTAGGGGTCACCAAATGAAATGAATAGGCTGCAGGTTAAAAAAAACCAGGACGTTTTTCTTCACACTGCGCACAGCCAACCTGTGGAACTCCTTGCTAGAGGATGTTGTGCAGACCAGGACTTTAACAGGGTTCAAAAAAGAACTAGGTACATTCACGGTGGTTAGGTCCATCAATACTTATTCACCAGGATGGGTAGGAATGGTGTCCCTAGCTTCTGTTTGTCAGAGGCTGGAAATGGATGAGAGGAGAGGGATCGATTGATGACTCCCTGGTCCGTTCACTCCCTCTGGGGCACCTGGTATAGGCCTCTGTCAGCAGACAGGACACTGGGCTAGATGGACATTTGGTCTCACCAGTGGGGCTGTTCTTATGTTCACAGCATGGAGAATTGTATCTGGGAAAGCAGTGACTGGAAAGGACATATGTCGGTGTGGCCGAAAACTCGACACGAGCTTCCCATCCGCTGCCGTGGTAAAGCACGTGGGGACCTTGAGGTGTATGAATCACAGCAGGGAGATGATTTTTAGCTACTGCATCCACTTCCGGTGTCTATATTTAACAGGAATGGTAAAAAATTAGAGACAGATCAGAGCCATGCAGATGATGTGCCAACTGGAGACACGTCTCTATCAGTGAAAGACTTAAAGAGCACCACCTGCTTAGCTTAGGAAACACAGGTGATTTGATAAAAGCGTGAAAATATTTGCTTCAGGAGACAATCCATCTAGCAGAGCAAGGGCTGGAAGCTGAGCTGGGATAAATTCAAATTAGAAATAAGGCTCAAATTTTGAATAAGGAGGCACTTCACCATCACACCAGTCAACCAAGGGAGGCTTGGTGCATTCCCCAGAGCTTGATGTCTTCAAATCAAGACTTAGCTGCCTTCCTGGAAAATATGAGTAATTGGCCTTAATGCCAGGGGAGCTGAGTCAAATTCTGTGGCCTATGTGATACAGGAGATCAGACCAAAACTCCCATCACCATTTGTATATCAGTACAGTGCCCAGGGAAACTGAGGCGTGCATGCACAGACAGAGGCTGCATCTAGACTGGCAAGTTTTTCTGCAAAAGCAACTGCTTTTGCAAAAAAAAACTTGCCAATTGTCTACACAGGCCACTTGAATTTCCGCAAGAACACTGACTTCCTACTGTCTGAAATCAGTGCTTCTTGTGGAAACGCTATGCTGTTCCTGTTCGGGCAAATCTAGATGACCTTTCCCGCAAATGCTTTTAACGGAAAACTTTTCCGTTAAAAGCATTTGCGGAAAATCATGCCAGTCTAGATGTAGCCACATACTGTATTTTCCAGTGTATAAGACGACTTTTTATACTAAAAAACATCCCCCAAAAATCAGGGGTCGTCTTATACGCCGGGTATAAACATACCGTAGCTTCGGCTACATACAGAACGTCCCTGTGCTGATACCGTATGTACTGCGCTGAGCCAATCCCGGCAAGTGGTGTCATCTATTAATGCATACAAAGCCTGCTCGGATTGGCTGAGTCAGAGAGGCAGGCTATTACAACCTTTGCCAATCCGAGCAGGCTTTGTATGCATTAATAGAATACACCGCTTGCCGGGATTGGCTCAGTGCGGTACATACAGTATCAGCACAGGGATATTGCCTCGGAAGGGGGGGTAGTCTTATACAGCGAGTATAGGCCAAAACCTATGTTTTAACTGGAAAATTAGGGGGTCGTCTTATACGCCCAGTCACCTTATACGCCGGAAAATACAGTAGTCTGCAGGACAGAACTCACATGAATCATAACACAGCAAATACAATCCCCACTTCCTCACAGACTGTCTCCTTTCGAATCCAGAACCAAGTGCCTCCTGCTGTGAGGAGTTTTATCCATGGATCAGGTTGGGTGGACTTAAACATGATGTAGCAACCCAGCATGAATCCAATATTGGATATATTGGCATTGGAAAAGATTCAGAAAAGGGCAACAAAAATGATGAGGGATTTGGAACGGGTTCCATATGAAGAGAGATTAAAAAGACTTAGTCTCCTCTTTTCTAAGCTGAGAAGTCCAAGGTGGGGATATGACAGGTCTATAAAATCACGTGGAAAAAGCGAATAAGAAAAGGTTATTTACTTATTCCCACAATAAAAAAAATAGGGGTCACCAAATGAAATTAATAGGCAGCAGGTTTAGAACAAACCAAAGGAAGTTTTTCTTTACTCAGCTCAGTCAACCTGTGGAACTCCTTGCCAGAGGATGTGAAGGCTAGAACTTTAACAAGCTTAAAAAAAAGCTAGATTCATGGAGGTTAGGTCCATCAATGGCTATTAGCTAGGATAGATAGGAATAGTATCCCTAGCCTGTTTCTTTGGAGGTGGGTGACAGGAGAGGGATTACATGAAGATTACCTGTTGCGACCCCCCCCCCTCCCTCCCGGGCATCTGGTATCAGCCACTGTCAGCAGACAGGATACTGAACTCAATGGACCTTTGGTCTGACCTAGTATGACCATTCTTAGGAGGTTCTTATGGTTGTGTTATGAACATACAGCTCACTGTTGCAACTACTGTTATATATTTGCGACATCTTCTACAAAGGGCAGAGGAGAGAGGATCCCAGTTACCTGTTTACATAGGATGGAAGACAGGGAAGCAGCTGTTGAGGGCAGGGATATTGGATGCCTTAGCAGGGCAGATGGGTCTGCCGCACTGGGCAGAGAAGCCAGAGCCTACCTGGATAGAGGAAGGCTTTAGATATACTGTGCCTTGGGGCCCAGATGGTTTCCTGTGCTGCCTTCTGATGCCCACTAAACCCTCCTGTTTTACACTGGCTGAGATCCACTCTAAACCAGAGCAAATGCCCTGAGGGGGGCCTGCAACAAGAGACAGATGTGCCCAAGACTCAGAAATGTGGTTCCAGAAGGCAGAGGTGGCCTACCACCAAAACAGCAGTCGCCTGAGAAGGGATGTCACACTGAACGGTGCAGTGAGATTTCAGGGAGGGAGTAATACCATTTTAGTGCTTTACGTACATTGAATGCATTGTTGAACTGGCTCAGCAGCAAACAAAAACAAGCAACCAGCAGAGAAGTGGCAGCATGATGAGCTACCAGCAGGGTGGCGGTGGAGAGGTGAAACAAAAACCAGTAGGGCAGCACCAGAGAGCAGGTGGATGGCAAGTGACCAGTAGAGTGACCAGCCTCTAACCTCCCCCACACTCAGGATGGGAAATAAAATCCTTCTTAAACTGGAAATCCCAGACTCTTTACACTTTTTGTAGAGCACTGGTTCCAAACCCATGCTTGCTGCCCTTTTCTGAACCCTTTCCAATGCCAGTATATCTTAAGAGATGAAGCAAACACAACTGAATGCAGTACTTAAGATGGACATAGGATCTCCCTCAAGTGGTTAAAGTAGACTCAATCACTTTGTATGTATGATCAATACACACAGGAAAAAGTACTTTTTATTTATCGATATTAAAAATCATTTGCCATTTTGTTGCCCTATCTACTTTTGTGAGATCCCTTGCAAACCTGTCTGCTTTGGGCTTACTGTCTTGCAGAGTTTAGCATCTGCAAACTTTTGCCACCTCAGTGATTACCCCTTTCTCTGGGTCATTTATAAACAGTGAATCCAGTTGGCCCTAGTACAGATCCTTGGCAGGCATCACCAATTACCTCTACATTGCACCCACTCTTGGGGAAGGGCTCAAGTTGGCACCAGAGCCACAGGGTGGCTGTCCAGCTGCCCATGGGGCAGTGCTGCACAGCAAGTGGCTGTCCTATGTTCCTGGGCAGAAGCCAGGGCAGCTGCCCTCCATGCAGTCCTACTCAGAGCAATAGGGCAGCCATCATAGGGCCCTGACCCTAATTCTCAAACCATCACCAGCTTACCTTCCATATCCAAGGAAGGCGAATGCTGTTGCATGGCTGTGCTGATGAGGCACAGCAGGATTAAAATTGTGCGTGCCTGCACAAGTGTGCACCCTACAGGGAACTTAACACTCTGATGAGACTGTGTCCATGTAGCACTCTTGGGGTATGTCTAGACTACAGGGTTTTGTTGACAGAAATTTGTCGACAGATACTGTCGACAAAGAGCGTCTAGACTACATCCAGTTCTGTCGACAAAGCAAGCCACTTTGCTGACATAACAGTGTGGACGCAAAGGACAGTGTAGATACAATAACGCCTTCTATAGAGAGAACTCTGTCAACAAAAGGCGTTATTCCTCGTAGAATGAGGTTTACATACGTCGACAAAACTGCTGAGTTTTGTTGACGTTATGTCGACATAACTCACAAGTCAGTGTGGACACAGGTATAGTTTTTGTCGACAAAAGTCCACTTTTGTCGACAAAACCCTGTAGTCTAGACACACCCTTGGATATACCAGGACCTGGAGTAAGACAGCTACAGCCCTTTACACAGCATTCCCACTCACTTAAGATCACACACTGACCAGGTTCCTACAAAACTTTTATTCATCCTGATCATTCATTCATCGCCTTTAAAACTTCTGGAACTGCTTCTTGGTGCCAGCAGCCTTTGTGACCTTGAGGACGTTGAATCGGACTGTCTTGCTGAGGGGACGGCACTCCCCCACAGTCACAATATCGCCAATCTGGACATCCCTGGAAGAAAGCAAAGCAGCTTTGAGATCACTACATAAATGACAGATTCTTCACCAAAAACTTGTTCCTGCACACAACGGAAATGAAATGAAACGGAGCCAGACAACACTGAGAAGTAGCATTTAAGGCATCTCCTTAGGGATGTTAAATATCAGTTAACTGAATCGGCAATTAACCTCATGAATTCTTATCCATCACTCAACTATTCTATAATCCCCAGGGTTGGGGCTAACAGCCAGTGCACTCCAGCCCCACTCCCAAGGAGCACTCCGCCACTCTACACTTCTGTCTCCGTATCAGAGGTACCAGCGTGGGGTCCCAGGTGGGAGCTACTCTGAGAAGGAAGCCAGTTTAAAAAGCCACCTCCCCTCACATAGCAGCTGCTTGTTAGCTCACGCTGCTGCCTCTGATAGAGAAGCAGTGGCCTGTCTGGGAAGGGATCTGAGCTGCTGGACCCAGCACGAGCTGCAACTAATACACTTGAAATCCAGAGCTGCAATGGGGGTAGATCCCAAACCCAGCACAAGCCAAGACTGAGCCAGGCTGCTGGCTAAAATATATACTGGAGGTGGGGTGGAAGAGAGTGCTCGAGAGCAGAGATTACGTGTTTCCCATGCAATCCTCTCAGATACTTAGAGAAGCAAGCAAGAAAGAAGGTTTTTCTATCACCAAAATTTTGACCAAAGCACTTATCTAGGATCTGCCAGAGGCAAAATGAAAGTGATGTTAACCTACAGGACCTCCTCTCCCACTCTTTGCATATCACTTGAAAGGTTTCCTATACTTGGCACTAGTTTCTTCTTTCCACAGATCTCAAGGAGCTTAGAATATTTATGAAGCCTCATAATCCAGGCAGGCAGGCAACCATACTAGAGAGATACATAAAGAACAAAGATGAAATGACTTAAAACCACAGAGTCTGGCACAGCACCAAGAAGGGGAAGGAGGGGGTACAATCATTCCCTGCCTGAAGTCCTGCACAAAGGATTCCTCCCCAGAAAACTTGTAAAAATCTTTGACAGTCACTAACGAGACAAGTCACATGCACGCAGCCCAGTTATCAACTGCCCTACACATACTGGTTTGCCACTTGGCCAGAAAGTACCTGCACAGGGAAACATTCAAGACTAGGAGTAGCCAGACAAGGACCTGTTTTATGGTTCAGCATGGCCAGACTGGCATTCTCAGCAGTCCCCTTTCACCAACGGGGCTCTGAAGACCATCGTGAGTTTAGACATCATTACCACCAAACAGGTTCTTGGTCAAGAATGGCAAAAGCACCACTCATGTGGTTTCACAGTGTTGACTCACTTCCTTAAGTGCAGCGTTCAGCTACAATTCTGGATATTTCATATGCTTCTTTGACCTAAACAGCTTTCTAGTTGGGATGCAACAGGACAGCATTTAGCACTTACATACTCTAACAAGATAGGCAATTCTCATTCTACACATAGAAAAAGGGAGGTGGAAGGTAACAGCTCACCTGTAGTCACAGTCCATATCAAAACAGATTAATACAAATACCCTGACTCATCAATTTGTGCTTATTGCATTCTTGGGCCTGCAGACTACATGGTTCCTATCTGGGATATCACATGGTATTGACCAAATGTACTGCCTGATCAATACTTAGCTCTTCCCTTCAAATCACTGCTAGGCAGTTGCCCCCCGCACTACTCCTCTGTTCACCTGAAGCAGGGGGAGAGGTGCACCGACATGTTCTTGTGGCGTTTCTCAAAACGGTTGTACTTGCGGATATAATGTAAATAATCCCTGCGGATGACGATAGTACGCTGCATCTTCATCTTGGTAACCACACCTGCGGAATAAAAGGGGGAAGGGAAATACTTAGTCTTAGTTGTGATGTTTAAGCAGAAGCCAGCATTTCACTGAGGCCTGGTTACTCCAGTCTAGTTGCTACCCACTCTAGTGGGGATGCATTCTGGTTTAACTGTTCTATGCCAGTATACTTTTCCTTTCCGCCACTCGCACTGGCTGCAAACAGTGATCTGCGGCCCACAAGAGCGGCACTCATCCAATACCTGCAGAGGTGCAGGTAGAGAGGTGGAGGCCCACAGGCCAAAATCTGCCCAGCCCTACACTAGGGATGTGAAGGACTAGTCACTCCCTCATGCCTTACTACCTCTATCAGAAGGGGGGGCATGGCAAAGAGGAGTGGGTACTTTAAAGCAGCACCCCTGCTTGGAGTCTAGGGCCAGACCCTGGGATCCACCCAGCACTGCCACTTTGAAACACCGTGTGCAGCCCAGGACCAGCTAGGGGTGTCCCCCCAGCTGCTCATGGTGTTTCAAAGCAGCAGCATGGTGTGGAGCCCAAGATCAGCTGGGGACTGCTTACCCCAGGCTCCAGGTGGTGCTTTTGCCTTTGAAGAGTACCAAGAGGACTGTTGCTACACTTCAAAGGCAGAGGTGCCCCATTGTTTAATTGACTAAACGCAAAACACACTGGACTATTTGATTAGTTATTTATTCGATATTTAACATGCTTACCCTGGTATCGCTTTGGGCAACACCACCAAGCGTGCAGATGCTACCTGCATTTCTAAAAACAAGATGGCCCCAATGTAAGGGCGACAATGCTATACAGCAGTAGTCCCCAACATTTTAGGGCTGCCAGGCGACCAGGGGCAGGGCCGCACATGCACCATGCACCCGGGGGCGGGGCCTTGCACGCGCCCAGGGCACAAGAATGGCTTGGGCCGACCCTGATCACTCGACGGGCGCACATAAATGTCCTGGCAGGCGCTACAGCACCTACAGGCAGCGTGTTGGGGACCAAGAATACAGGACACCAAGGAGGAGCCTGCCACCACCAGGGGCTTTAGCCCAAGTGGAAGAAGGGCTGCTGGTGCTTGAGGCTTCAGCTCTCCAGGAGTTAGGGAAGTAACCGCTGGCACTCAGGGCTCCAGCGGCTGAAGCGCTGAGTGCCAATGGCTCTGTGCCCACCCTGAGCCCTTTGGCGGAGATGAAGTTCACCCCTGCAGGATGCAGAGGGGGAGGGGACCCACAGGTGCTTGGGTCTTCAGTAATTGAAGCCCTGAGCACTGGCTTCCCCGGCCCTTGCAGGGGAACTACAGGACAATGTCCCTTTTCTAACATAAGCAGGAAGGAGACCTTAAATAAGAGACTGCCCCGGTAAAAATGGGACAGATGGTCACCCTACCTACAGTTGGGGTCTACAGATGGTAGACCTACACTAAGTCAAAAGAGCTCTACTTCACCATAAAGAACTTCTAAGATAAGCAAAAGCAGCTCTGTCCATAGATCAGTCCTGCACTTGTCTCCTGGGTCCTTGGGCCAGGCATCAGCAAAGCCATTTGGCAGTGTCGTCATAGTCCCTTCACCATGAGACTTGGAAGACCATCGTGAGAATAGCATCATTTGCAGCTCAGGACCACAGCAGTAGTGAAAAGGGTTGATGATAGGTAGTGTGCCGCACTTTAAAGGTAAACTGCTGGAACTGCTACATGCTGGGATCTCCAGTTCCATCAGGCTGAGAGTCAAGGACATGTGTAATCTGCTCTGGTCTATGCACATTCCAAACAATCCCATTTTCCAATAATCTCATATGCCCACACTGTTTAATCACTGGATCCAGACCCTACAACAGCACTACACGCAGGACTGCACAGACCATTCCCTTCAGGCTTTGAAATGCATCCAAAATAACAATTTTTCTTTAACAGAAGCATTTCTTAGACCTTACCTGACAGGATACGACCACGGATAGAGACATTGCCAGTGAAAGGGCACTTCTTGTCAATGTAAGTTCCCTCAATGGCCTGAAAACAGAGAAGCCTGACATCAGCAATTGAGAGCTAAAGAGTTAACATCTGCTGCAGAAATCTACCATCAATGAAAGCTTGTTGCACTGGGTGGCTACAACAAAGAAGGACATCACCTTCTTTACTCCTGTCTGTAGGAACTGACATCAGCAAGGCCTTTGGCAACTCTCGTCAAAGTCCACTCACTCTTGGGACTTGGAAGACCATCGTGAGAAGAGACATCACATGTCAGCAAGGAAAAGAATCCCCCTAAGGTTCACAGAAATTGCCTTTCCTAACCTCCTGGCTTATTCACTAGCTGCTAACATGCAATTCTCCTGGCTTATTCACTAGCTGCTAACATGCAATTCTCCTGGCTTATTCACTAGCTGCTAACATGCAATTCTCCTGGCTTATTCACTAGCTGCTAACATGCAATTCTCCTGGCTTATTCACTAGCTGCTAACATGCAATTCTCCTGGCTTATTCACTAGCTGCTAACATGCAATTCTCCTGGCTTATTCACTAGCTGCTAACATGCAATTCTCCTGGCTTATTCACTAGCTGCTAACATGCAATTCTCCTGGCTTATTCACTAGCTGCTAACATGCAATTCTCCTGGCTTATTCACTAGCTGCTAACATGCAATTCTCCTGGCTTATTCACTAGCTGCTAACATGCAATTCTCCTGGCTTATTCACTAGCTGCTAACATGCAATTCTCCTGGCTTATTCACTAGCTGCTAACATGCAATTCTCCTGGCTTATTCACTAGCTGCTAACATGCAATTCTCCTGGCTTATTCACTAGCTGCTAACATGCAATTCTCCTGGCTTATTCACTAGCTGCTAACATGCAATTCTCCTGGCTTATTCACTAGCTGCTAACATGCAATTCTCCTGGCTTATTCACTAGCTGCTAACATGCTATTCTCCTGGCTTATTCACTAGCTGCTAACATGTTATTCTCACAGAACTATAGTGCCCACTGACACAGAAAAACATGTTAAAGGGCTTAACACACGTATCTCAAACCCTCCATCTCCCTCCCGCCTCCCGTTTGAAGGGAAATGAAAGAACCCCTGAAAAGCAACGGCAAGCCAGAGTCAGGAACAGCTGTGGCTCGGGTGGCAGACTCACACGCAGACCATACCTCTTTGGGGGTTTTGAAGCCCAGGCCAATGTTCTTGTAGTAGCGGGGGAGTTTCTCCTTGCCTCCCTCCCCCAGAAGCACCCGCTTCTTGTTCTGGAAGATGGTGGGCTGCTTCTGATAGGCCCTCTCCGTCTGTGGGGCGGGAGAAGGGAAGATCCAGAAGCCACCCACAGGACGCGCCGTGCAGCGGGCAGCGCGGGGCGGGGCGGGGTTTTGAAGCCCAGGCCAATGTTCTTGTAGTAGCGGGGGAGTTTCTCCTTGCCTCCCTCCCCCAGAAGCACCCGCTTCTTGTTCTGGAAGATGGTGGGCTGCTTCTGATAGGCCCTCTCCGTCTGTGGGGCGGGAGAAGGGAAGATCCAGAAGCCACCCACAGGACGCGCCGTGCAGCGGGCAGCGCGGGGCGGGGC